GTTAAGAGATTATGTTTTGACTAGCTAGATTCTCATTAACTATAATATTAACACATTCACAATTAATCTATAGTGAAATCATAAACTTTTTAAAACATCGGTTGATTAAATTCGAGCGCGAAATACCGTTATAATTATCTCTCAACGCAAAATACCGTTATTTGTTTCACACGAAATGATTAGTTGAGAACATAGAATTATCATATTGAAAAGAGGAGAGAGAACCTTGGTTATCATTTCAGCAATAACATCATATTGAGTGACGTGACGTTTCCAGAACATGAGAGCTTTTTCCAGATCAAAGCTGAGACAAGGCACTTGCTTCCAAACGTTCTCCCATCGCCGAGACAACACACTTGTCTTGATCGCATCTTCTGTGCGCAGATTGGATAGAATCATGATCAACAACATCGTCATCAAGTTTGCTTATCTCGTCAATTTTTCAACCTGGATCTGTTTGCCTCTTGCTTTTGAAGATGGTGATGCATCAGTGGATGGGATCAATGATGAAGTGAAAAGAACCGGTGGGAGAGACATTTGGAGGATAGATGATTTTGATTTGGACACTAAGCGAGAGAAGGAAAAAAGATGTGAGATTTTCTCCAAGTGAGGGAAAAATAGGATAGAGACAACCAAATATATCTGGACGGCGTTGTTCTTACAAAACTTTCAAAACCTAATTTTATTTTCACATTTAGCAAAAAATAAATAAATTATTTTCATTGAAACAATTGAATTATTTTAGAAAAAACCTTTGACATTTGATAAAAATGGAAAACAATTTGACATTTAGTGGATTCCTTTTTCAAATAGAATGTACAGAATAAATTTTGCTTTCTGTTTTTGAAAAAAAATACATGCATTCATGTACCAATTAAGCTAAATTTTACGTGGTGTGAGTTGTATTACAATTTTGGAATTTTTTTCCAGTCAACATAGTATTTTTAATATTAGCTGTTATGTTGCCAGAATAAACAATTTCCATATAATTGTGATATTCCAATATATTTTTTTTTCAAGATTTAAGATAAATAGTGTAAAAGATTATGAGGTTTAACAAAATTAAGAAATGTAATTACCCATTTAAATAAACTGGATCATATATGGGCCATATATATTTTATTCATAAGAAATCGGCCCATTGTTAGCTTCAATTAGACGCGGTATAACTCTTAATTATAAAAAGTCATTTTTTCATCTTCTAAAAGGTTACAAAACCCCCAAATTCTCTGTCTCTCTCTCATACGCCGCATCGTAGCGAACAAGTGAAATCCACAAGTAAATCTCGGTAGAAACTATGGCGACTAACGAACCAGAGCACGAGCACAGAGAGGAAGAAGAGGCCGGAGCTAACGAGGATGAGGACACCGGAGCTCAGGTCGCTCCGATCGTTAGGCTTGAAGAGGTTGCTGTTACTACCGGCGAGGAAGACGAAGACGCCGTTCTCGATCTGTAAGTGTATTCTTAAGATTTTATGTGATCTAGTTATTACTGGATCTGATCGAATTTCTAGGGTTTTGAGATTTATGATTGAAACTTTGTTTGTGAATCGAAGGAAATCGAAGCTGTATCGGTTCGATAAGGATGCGAATCAGTGGAAGGAGAGAGGTGCTGGTACTGTGAAGCTCTTGAAACATAAGACTACTGGGAAGATTCGTCTCGTTATGAGGCAATCGAAAACTCTGAAGATCTGTGCTAATCACTTTGGTAAAAAGCTTTTTGTGGTTTTGAGTTGCATCTGGATCTGTATTTAGGTTATTGTTTACTTATTTGATATTCCCTTCTTTGGAATTTCTGCAGTTAAACCAGGCATGAGTGTTCAGGAACACGTTGGGAACGAAAAGTCTTGTGTATGGCACGCTCGTGACTTTGCCGATGGGGAACTTAAAGATGAGCTTTTCTGCATCCGATTTGCTTCAATTGAGAGTGAGTGTTAAATTGAATTGTTCATTTTTTTTCATGTAGATTGGATCTTGTTACGCAATTGTGTTATTATTTCGTGTGCTTCTGGGTTTCATTGCCCTTTATGTTTATGCATGTTGCTTTTGCTTTGCACTATATATTCTCAGTACATAGTTGGTAGAACTTATGGCCTTAGATTTTACTAAAGGATCTTGAACTTAGCTACTTAGCTTTGTTTTATGGCTACTTGTTTTTGGAGGTTCTCGACTCAAAGCTTATGTTACAGGGATATTTTAGAGCTGTCAATTTCTTTCATTTTCCTTGAAACTCGCTCATAACACGGCATGCTATGCCATATTGTGTTCGGGAATTGTCTAAATAAGATGGTTATTAGCATATACTACCATTGCATTAGAAGGAGACATTTATCTTGTAATGGTTAAGCATGTGTAGGTTGCAATCACAAGATTTGATATGCCAATATCAAATGATCTTCTGTCTGTTTTCTTGAGGTTGTCTGTTGTCAACGTTTTTTAAACTGTTGATCTTATGAACCGAAAAGTTTTGTAGAGCTGTGTGGGTAATGAAATCTTGTTTTCCTTGTTAGATTGCAAAACCTTTATGCAAAACTTCAAGGAGGTTGCTGAAGCTGAAGAAGAGAAAGAAGAGAGCAAAGATGCCTCAGACGCCGCTGGTCTTCTGGAGAAGTTGACCGTGGAAGAGACAAAAACTGAGGAGAAAACCGAGGAGAAACCTGTGGAGAAGGTGAAAACTGAAGTGGAAGCAGATGAAAAGAAAAAGAGCGAGACAGAGAAAGCTGTCGAAGAAAAGAAAACTGAAGAGGCTGGTTCCTCACCTTAAGACGTTTATGCCGAATCCTGGCGAGGTAATTTAGCCTCAAAAGTGTTTTGATGCATCTCGAGTCCACCATCGTCTTGGCTCTATCTATTAATACATGTGTTGTTGAGTCATATCAAGTGGTTGGGGGATCGCTTGGGGTCGGGTTTTGCTGAGTCGTTTTGGGTCTATAGTTTTGAGTCGAAAGGGTCGAGTCTTATGCGAGGTTCGGGAGAAAGATTCTTTTTAAGTTGGTTATCTGAAAGAGTACATTCGTTTCATTGTTTTAAGTTTTCTTATGGATCCTTTTTGGATGGTCTTATTTTAAGGATCGAGGTTGTGTTTGTTCATGGACAAGAATCATAAGTCTCTGTTTCTTTTTGTTTTTACAAAATTGAATGCATATGATTGCTAGTCTTGATGAAGACACAACATTTTAGCATATCACAAGCACTTTCAAACTTGAACTGTCTCGACAGTCTTTTCAATTCATTCCAAATTATTTTTGGTATTATATACACAAATTTAATATCTTCAATTATGAAAAAAATCACTATTTTGAAGAAAATTGATGAAGTTAAAAATATGGAAACAATAATTTAAGACAAAAGTGGAGAAACGGAAAACTTTAGAAAAAAGGTTTTACAAAAATCAGTTAACTTGACACAACTATAAAATGTTAAGTAAAAAAGAGAAAAAGTAATTTAAATCTTTCATAATTTTCTCATTCAATAATTGTTGAAGATATATGAGATTTGAAAAGAAAAGTAAATTTGCTTGTTTGCATATTATGCTATATATAATAAAAAGAAAAAATTAGACTAATATAAACAATCAGATTAATATAAACATATCAATCTGTTTTTCAACAATAAGATGGAAAGAACTTTGAATACACTCGGAAATTGACATACTAGGTAAATGAGATAAGTAAAGTGTAAACCATTGATATTGATTTTACTTGTGTCTTTCTTATCTAATTTTTGTACAGAAAAAGAAATGATAATAATTTGGTTTCAATACTAACTTTAAACCACAGTAAACTTATAATATGTTTGCCACATCACAATCCATTTATATCCATTATCCAAAC